TGCAAACTTTAGGTCTTTTTACCAGTGGATATGGTGGCGGCTTCAGTTCAAACTTTGCATTGACTTTTGGACCCTGCAGTGTACAACATGCTTTCTTAAATAAAAAGTACATGAAAAACAATAGTAAAGAACACACACGATATGCCTCAAGAAAAAGGCCATTTCTTCTTGTAACTTCATAATTTCAACATGTATCCATAAATTTTTGTATTTCAGAATACACAATAAAAAATTTTGTATTTTAGATTGTACAGAATACAAAATAAAAAAAAATACATGAATTATATAATCTGAAATATGTAATAATTATATTTGGAAAATTGGATTCTGAATTATACACTCAAGAATATAAAATATAAAATATATTTTAAAATATACCTTCTAAAATTTAAAATTTATATTTTAGACAAGAATTTATGAGGGTTCAGGAAGATATTTCTGAAAGAAACTGCCCAAAAGAAGGAGGAAAGATAAAGTTAATGGGCCAATAAACCAGGCCGGCCCACAATTTCTTGGGTTTGGTTTAGATTGCCTGAATGATTCTATTTACACTTCTTTTCTTCTATTTGCACTTCCCACCTTTTTTTGTGATTTTAAAATACTAAAAATACTTTTTCCCTTTCTCCTTCTCCCCTTTTCTTCTCTTTCCAGCAATCCTATTCTCATCCAATCTCAAACTCTTCCATAAGCTTCTTCCACTGTCTTCTACTATTCCCACCCCTCCATTTGCCACTTTCACTCCCATTTTCCCTCTATTCTTTTTAGCTCGTCCAAATGTCTCAAAACCTTATTCCCTAAATATATCAAATGCATTTCATAAATTAATCTCTGAAATGCATTTAATTTATTTTGGAAATAAACTTTCTATACATTGATAAGCTCACGGTCAGAATAACCCTATAACTATTTCACTGAGTAATCTTTTAATGCTATACATGCATGTGTTCAATTTTAAAACGATATGATCAACGGTGAAATATTTTCATTGTAAAAATAGGTTAAAAGTAAAATTAAAAATGATTTTTTTTCATCGATTAGTTACTATTTCAACTCGATTTTAGTTTATCTGACTTAAATCAAACATACACAAAGAAAAGCATTTTAAGGTAAACTTTTGAATCTTATGCGAGTAAACACACATGAAATAACTAAAAACTACAAAAGTTTTTTGTTTTCAGAAACTGAACATATGATGATAAATTTACTATAACTTTAACATCTTGTTGAAGTAGCTGAATCAGAGCACCTTAATAATATATACTAATAAAACAGATTTTGAAGTATATTTGGTGATGAGAAGCATTAATATATACCTCTTTGAAAAGAACATTGATGCCAGTCACATTTTGTAACCCTGCAATGCAAACACGAATTAGCAGATGAAAAAACAGAAATTAAGATTGAAAATAGAACAGCAAAAGTTTGTGAAGAAAGAAGCACCTAATGAGGTCATGGTTTGTGAGGCGTGTGGCAAGAGTGAGGCTTTAGGATAAAGGTCAAACTTTTTCTAATTTGCAAACTTATATAGGACTCAAAAATACGTGTTAGTACAATTCGAATGTTGTAGTACACTAATGTTTTGCTGGTAGTACCAGAAGCAAAATGGCCCAGTACTACAACTCTGCAAGATTATCTATTTATCTAATATCTATTACTTACAAACAAAAAAAGTTAATAGTAAATAATAAATTTGAACAATTAAGATTTCTCTTTGTCATGATGAATTAATAAATATTTAATCAATGCAAAGTATCGTTATGTGTGATTCCTTTTTATCAGAAAACTCATTTAAATCTCATTAATTACTTCTTTGTAGTTGCAACTAACTAGAGATATAATATCAAAACAATTACTTATTTTGGGATAAAAAAGGTAAATACATCTTAATATTAAATATTACTTATTTAATTAAAACAATAATAAAACAATATCTTCACGTATTTTTTACCCTAACCAAAACCTTCACATTGAGAAGGAAGGATAATAGTAGGTTCACATACTTACACTCACTTAACATACTTTTGTAATAGAAAAATAAAAATAATGAGTGTAAAAATGTATCAAAATATTTTTTTCTAATTGAGAATTCTCAACGTATATAAGTCTGTGCAAGTGTACACTTGTAACATTGATAGTATATATTAAAAGAAGGATACTGTTACTTTCCCTTTAATGTATACTATATATTCTTATAATTAAATTCTTTTGTTTTTTATAGCCATTATTTCTTAAGAAATGGGGTTTCAAAAAGTTTGAATATGATTCTATTGTTTAAATTTTTTTATTTACTTTTATCTTAATCATATTTGTATTTGTCTTTACGTCTTTTCAATTTAAAATGATTATATATATATATATATATATATA